CCGCGTCCACGCCGTCGGGGCCCAGCGTCTCGCGCACGATGGCGCCGATCTCGGCCGCCAGCCCGTCGTAGTGCAGGCACACGTCCATGGCGCGCCGCGCGAAGCCGGTGGGGTCCTCCTCGAAGGTGTGCGAGGCCTTCTCGGCCACGAGCCGCACCTCCAGCTGCCGCAGCTGTTCGAAGGCCGGCAGCAGCCGCCGCTCGGTGATGAGGTCGGCCACAGATTTGCCTTTTGCAAGGACAGGCGAGGAAAGCGGCAGTGAGGGGTACCGCCTCAGCATCCTTGGGGCCCAGCTCCGGTGTGTCCCGCCCTGGCAGCCCCCACGCGCACATGGCTGCCAGGCGCCCTCTGGGACCCTGGGACCTGAGAGGGCCAGGGCCTTGTCCAGCCCTCGGGTTTGGCCAGGAGCCAGGCTCTGGAAGGCTGTGGAGAGGTGAGGGTTCTGGGGTCCTGCAGGGGTGGGTTCAAATCCCATTTCTCCACTCCCTGGCTGTGAGACGTGAGGCAAGTCACTCAACCTCTCTTGAGTCTCACTTGGCTCACTCTCAGCTCTCTGAGCTGCGCAGTGGATGCTCCCCTGGTTGAAATGCTGGGGGAATGTAAAATGCAATCGTGCAGGGCAGTGTTTGGGGGAGCTGGGGAGGACAGCCTGTCAGGAAGCCTGGACCCTGATGCTCACCCTCTGGCCTCAGTTTCCCCGCATGCCCAGTATTGTTTGTGAAGCTCTCACCTGCCTCAGGTTCCAGCTCCTCACGCCCCACCCCAGCAGAGGACTGCCGGCGACCACCATCCATGACCCTGGAGGGCACCTCTGGGCCTTGGGTCATCACCCCTGGCACAGCAGTGGCCTGGGGCTGGTGGGCAGGGGAGCCATCATCCTGGGCACGCCGTAAAGACCGGAACAGGAAGCGGGAGCTGCGTTGGAACAGGCCCACGTCCTCCTCGGGGGCCTGGCCTGAGGCCTGCTGGCTTGTTCGGGAGAAGGCCCGCCGAAGGGTGCCCAGGCCGGGCCAACTGTCCTCACGGTGGGTGCTGGGTGTGCCTTCACTGCTTGCCCGCCAAGTTCCCCGCACTGGTGGGGTCTGCAGCTTCTTTGCAGCCCCCTCAGGGCTGTGCAGCTCCGGCCCGGAGGTCACTGTCCGTGGCAAAGACATCTTGGTAGCAGGAAAGCTGGAGATGAAAAGGAGGCTCAGGAGGCCTGGGGTGAGGGAGGGGGGTGGCACCCAGCCCTGGGGAATGGGCCCAGAAACCGCTTGAGAACCCTGTGAGGCCTGACGGAGCCCAGTGGCTGGGCCTGGTCAGGCCAGCTTCTCCCAGGAGATGACCCCCAGGCTGGCACCAGGCAGCTCTCGAGGCCAGAGCCGTCTTCGTGCCAGGCTGCAGCTGGCACTGAGATGCAGACAGCTACCTCCTTCTGGAAAACTTCCGTGACACCACCTTCCCCAGGGTACCCCCAGGTGCCCAGGCTCCCTGGCTCTGCCAGGCCAGACCCTCCTGTCAGAGCTGGAGAGGAGAGTTGAACTTGCGGGAGAGTTGAACAGCCCAAGCCACAGCCCACAGCCCCCGGGGCTGGGCCCAGCAACCACAGCCAGGATTTCCTGGATGTTAGGTCCTGAGGCCTAAAATGACCACTCTCCCCACCCCCTAGCCTTCACTGCCCTCCCCGCTCACCAAAGCCCTCAGCTCACCCCCATTCAACCCATCAGGCCTAACTGCTTCTGCTGAAAGGGGAGCTCAGGGACCCCTGTGTAAGAGACTACCTCCTTCTCTGGGTAGCTCAGAACTGGAGGGAGGCGGGGTCAGGCCTGAGGTCTGTGGCCACCCCTGGATGCCCCTAAGGCTTATCTGCCTATCCGGGCTTGCAGCACTGTAGGGGGAGTGGTGGGAGGGGCCACAGGTCTATATTTAACCCGGGGCTGGGGGGCCCCCCGGGGCAGTACTCACCCATTGCGTCTCCTCCCCACCCAGCCCTGGTGTGCTCTGCCCCCCCCAGAGGGGGTGATGAGGGGGTCCCTAGGGCAGGAGGTGCAAAGCAGGGGCTGCCCCTGCCCACCTGGGCCTCAGGCCTTCCATAGGCTGTACCCGCACTCCCTTCCGGCACAGCCTGGCCCATGTTTGATTTTCTGGCTTTAGGTTAAGCTGAGGTGGGACCTCCTCAGCCTGAGGGGACCTCCCACCCACCCCTCTGTGAGGGTGTTATGGGTGGGGGGGCTGTCTTAGACCAGCAAGGTCTTACTTTAGCCTTGGAGAAGCTGGCCAAAAGGAAGGCTGGACTTACTGAAGTCACTGGCCAACCAGAGGCCAGAGCCCCCAGCCCATCCCCCGGCTCCCCCCACCCACAGGACAAAGGTCAGGCTATCACCTGACCCTTGGGTGACATCGGGCAGGAACACCTCTCCCCAGGTCCCCATTTGCCTTGGGGGGGATGACACTGGGATGGGCAGGGCCCAGACCCTCACCCACCCCCAAAGCCCTCCAGGGGTCAGACACGCAGGTGGTCAGCGGAGGCCTCCCTCCCTCTGCCCAGAGGCCACCTAACAGCTGGAGAGAGGCCCTGTTGAGGGAGAGGCAGGCCCAGGTGATTGATGGGTTCTTATCAGCCCTGCCCAGGCCACAGGTCATCGTCCTCTCCTGGGCACCGGGACTCGGGGACCCTGCCCTGATTTGACTGTTCCACACATGCAGGGAACATTGTCCCAAGAGCTTTCTGCCCTCCCCACCCCCAACTGCCCTCTCCCTGGGGCCCCTCAGTCACCAGCAGGGTCCGGGTGGCCTGTGCTCTGCCCAGATGTGCTTTGAGTGCCATCACCAGGGGCATGTGGGCAAGGGCTTGGCTGGGGAGAGTTCACACTTAGTAAGCACCTACTGTGTGCCCAGCCCAAGGCCTGGCGCACATCAGATCCCCCTAACAACAAAGTTGTAGGGTGTCACTTCATCTCATAGGTGAGCAAACAGGCTCTGAAAAGAGGCAGGGTCTTGCCTCCAGCCACACAGCTCAGGGTCAGGGAGCCTCGGCCAACCCAGGCCCGTGCGGCCCCAGGAGCAGAGGCCAGGTTCCCCCGAGTCTCCCAGCCCCAGTGAGCCAGGGCTGCTGCCCAAGGAACCCTTTCCCCTGGTCACTGGGCCCACGGTGGGGGCAGCGTCCAGATGCCAGGAGTGGGGCCGAGAGGCAGGTTCTGGGGGGAGGAAGGGCGGCTGGCAGTTTGGGTCTTATGTGAGGACACAAGCACACGGGTCCCCCCCACCCTCATCTGGAACTGGACCTGTCCTGAAGGCCCATCGAGGCCCCCGGCTGGTCTCTCTGCCCCCTCTGACCTTGCTCCCACAGTTTCCCAATCCATTATTGACCTTCCCACAGCACAAGTCAACGAGGTCACTCCCTTGTTTTAAACCGTTCCGTGGCTCCCCAGAGCCTGGCACCCAAAGCCTTCCCATCCCCGAACTTCCTCCAACCTGACCTCTGGGCCTCCTTGACCTGCACCCATCCTGCCTCCCGGTGCCTCTCTGTCCCTCAAATGTCCAGCCTCCCAGCTTCCTCTCAGGCTGCTCCCTCTCCTAGCCTCCCCATCTTTGCTCTCCAAATCTGACCCAGATTTCAGGGCCCAGGGGTATGGGTGCCCCCACCTCCAAGGTGTCTTTGGGCTGTGCTGCCCCACTGTCCCTGTGGCAATGGGGCCTTCCTTACCGTCCCGGGAGCCTCTGTCTATCCGCCCCCTCCCCATCAGCCCAGAGCCAGCCTGGAGGAGGAGTGGACCATCAGGGTCAGGGTCACCCCTCTCCCAGGTTTGCCTGGCCAGGCACCACACCGGTATCTGTTGGACTCGGTGCCCTGCTGACTCTACCTTGGTCCCTGACCCGTACCTGCCTCCTCATACCTGTGAGGACTCTCTCTGGCTCTTTCTCTCCCTGGCCCTCTGGCCCCATTGCCCTGAACGTTCAGAGGCCCCGGCTCCTACGCGGGGGGCTCGGGACTGGTGTATGTTCTTGCCATTCTATTCAACATTTGAAGGATTAGTTAAGGCAATAAGACAAGAAAATAAGTGAGGTTTCAATATTGGGAAGGACCTGGTAAATCTGTCATTATTCGTGGGCAAGGTGATCATTTGCTTAGAAAAGAGTTTTCCAATATATTAGCAAAGCCTGTAGAAAAGGGCGCTTGAAAGGCTCCTCTTCTCAGAAGCGACAACAGAAAAGGCTCCGGGACCCGCAGCGCCTGCAGGAGAAGCTGACCCCTCCATGGGTGGGCCCTCGAGGCCCTTCATCATCCACCCCTCCGTGCCCGCTCCCACCCACTCCCCCACCCTAACCAGCTCCCTTCCCTTCCACACCTCCACACAGGCTGTCCCAGCTCCCGCAAGCCTCAGCACCCAGCACCCAGCAGCCCTTCCCCCCCAGCGCCTCCCGCTGCGGACCTGGTCCCAGCCCTGGGCATAACTTCTCCCGTGGCTGAGGGACGGTGGCATGGTCCGGGGCCTCTGCCCCTTGGCCACGAGCCCCCCAGGGCAGGGAGTGGGCCTGACTCAGCACCCCAGCCAGGCCCGGCCAGTACATGGCAGGGACCCAAGGAAAACAGATAAGCAACCTAATGTGAGGGTAAGCCCTGGGGGGGGGGGATGTTGCCACTTTTGTGCGGAGGGGCCTCGTGTGTCTCCAAGTCCGTGTGCCTCAGAGGCCTGCGAGCGGCTCTGGCCGTGCGTCCGTGTGTGTCTGTCTGGGCCCGCGTGCGTGTCTTTACGTCTGCACATCCGCGTTCTGCGTGTCTGTGTCTGCACACGGCGATTTGAGCTGGCACTCCGGCCTGGGCTCCGAGCTGAGGCCCTTGGCCCGGAAAGCCACTGGGCAGGCCGGGATCTGTCCTCAGTCCCCTGAGTCCCCGCCCACTGCCCACAGCATCCCTGCAGCTCTCCTGCTCCACCTGCACCAAACATACCTGCTGGGTGAGGAGAGCCCGGGGCCCCAGGCAAGACAGGGCGGCCAGGGGAAGCCAGCGGAGCCAGGGCCCCAGAGCTGGGCCTCGGTGGTGAGGCCGCTGGGGCAGTCACTCACTCTCACAACACTGTTGGAGAGTGAGTGACCAACAGCTGGGACTTCCCGGCCTGGTCTGCGCTGCCCTGGGCCCACCGGCCCCACCCCTTGCCCCACCCCCCCACTCCAACCCCGTAGTTTCACTTTCAGAAGTGCTCCCACCCCCTTTCCATTCCAGACACTATCACTCCAACCTTTGATTCCTAGCCATCCATGGCTCAGGCTTCAGGGAGCACGCGAGGGGAGGGGCAGCCCCTCACGGCTCAAGGCAGTGGGGGAGGGACCCTGCAGGGACTGCTGGACAGCCCCTTCTGGGGGCACACTGAGGCCAGAGGCCAGAGGCGCCGGCCTGCCGGGGTGCGCGGGGTGTGGGAGGGGGACACGAGCCCACAGCACCCCAGCCCGGAAGTAGCCCTCCCTCCAGGGCCTGTGTGCCAAGCTCATCCTGAGAGCCCCTGCCTGGCATCGAGAGCCAGGAGCGCAGAAACGTGGGCCACGGGGCACTGGGGGTGAGGGCGGTTCGGGGAGGATGTCACAGTGACAGCAAAGGGAGTATCAGAAGCCACAGGCCATTCCAGAGGGCTTCAGGAGCTGGCGTGGAAGGGGGCTAAAGGAGAGAAGGATTCCCCTCAGGAGTGAGGAGCGATGGCCTTCTGGGCAGGGGTCAGCGAGGCTGTGAGCACAGGCCTCCTCCTCCACAGTGGATCAGGCTGGAGATGATTTGTGGAGAGGGTCACCGAGACTTCCCAGAAGAGGCAGGCCACATGTCTTCATGGGGGGATTCCGCTGCTGGCATCCTTGGAAAAAACTTAGGGAAAATCCAAGGAGGACTGATCCAGGCCTGTCCCAAGCAGGCTGGAGCCACTGGGGCAGGGGGCAGAGGAGGGCAGGTAGAGACAAGCTCGTGCGTTAGTGTCCGAGGGCTCTGCCAGAACACAGTACCCCTGGCTGGGGGGCTTAAACAGCAGACATTTATTTTTTCAAAGTTCTGGAGGCTGGAAATCCGAGATCCAAGTGTCAGCAGAGCAGGCGTCTCCTGAGCCCTCTCTCTGGGCGGGTAGACGCTATCCTCTCCCCACATCCTCACACAGTCGTCCCTCTGTGCGTGTCTGTGCGTGTCTCCTGTTCTTATAAGGACACCAGTCATATAGGATTAGGACTCACCCTAATGGCCTCATTTTAACTTAGTCACTTTCTTAAAGGCCTTATCTCCAAATACAGTCACCTTCTGAGGTACTGTTGGGAGTTACAACTTCAACGTAAGAATTTTTTGAGGACAGGGGCGCCTGGGTGGCTCAGTCGTTAAGCGTCTGCCTTCAGCTCAGGTCATGATCCCAGGGTCCTGGGATCGAGCCCCGCATCGGGCTCCCTGCTCCGTGGGGAAGCCTGCTTCTCCCTCTCCCACTCCCCCTGCTTGTGTTCCCTCTCTCGCTGTGTCTCTCTCTGTCACATAAATAAATAAAATCTTTAAAAAAAAAAAAAAAAAAAAAGAATTTTTTGAGGACAAAATCCAGCCCATAATAGATTGGAAGGCACCTGAGATGCTGCAGCACCCCACTGCCATGTGCAGACAGGCCAGATTGGACGCAGAGATACCAGCACCTCCTCCAGGAAGCCCTCTGGCTTCCCACTTGAGTCATTAGCCCCCTGAGCCCTGGGTACCCCTCTGTGAAATAGGGTCACAAGAGTCCCAGCTCAAGCCCTGTGGGCTGGAGGGGCCTTTCCCCCTAGCTCAGGCTGGTCTGCTCGCTGGCTTCCTGTCCCCCATGTGTCCAGCAGTCAGAAACCGAGAGACGGAAGGGACACCCCATGGTGACTGCCCGGGACTCCTCAGTGGGAGTCCCGGGGCCTCTGTGGAGCAAACACCCTCCACCCTCATTGTACTGGAACACCGACTCCGAGAGGCGTAGGAACTGCTCACAGCCACGCAGCTGGTGAGACGGGGACAGAATTCTAGCTCTGGGTTCTGCCTCTGAGGACTGGGTCTTTCCATAGGGCCAGGCCCTGGCAGACACTGGGGGTTCTTCAGGCTGACCTTCCTGGTCTCCAGTTCACTGGGCACGTCAGGGTCACCTCGTCTCAAGAGATGGGGTCCCTGGAAACCTGGTGGTGTCCAGGGCCTGGGGAGTTGCTCTGGGGCCTCTCCCCAACTCCCAGCTCCACCCCACACCCATCCCAGCCTGTGCCCACTTTTCAGCATGAGACTGTGCTGGTTCTTTCATCCTGTCTCCACGCTGTGGTTCTCCAACCGTCTCAGTAAAATCCCTGCGGAAAAGTCCCAGCCTTGTCTCGGAAGAGCCCTGGGCTATGGCGGGATGGCACGGGGTTGCTCTGGCCGGGGTCAGGAGAAGGCAGAGCAGAGGGGACAGCTGGGAGGGGGAGGCGCAGCTGGGGGCCCCAACTAGAGGACAAGTCCAGCTGCCCCACGTGGGGCTGCACAACCTTGGGAGAGGCCCTGGTGACTGAGCTTTAGGGTTCTCCTCCATAAAGTGCTATTGTTGGCATCAAATGGGTCCACAGCAGCAGAGAACTTGGCTCCCAGGCGGGCAAGGGCAGCCCCACCCGGGGTTCCTGGGAAGCCAGGGGTTCCCGGGAAGCCAAGCTGTCACACCCTGAATGCAGATGCCAAAGGGGGCAAATTTCACCCACACCTTGGCCAGGACCAAACACAGACCAGTCAGAGACCAGGAACGGGCTTTGGGTCGGGGCAGGGGACAGCGCCTCTCTCTCTGAGGCGGATATTGCCAAGTTGAGGTGGCCCATCTCCGACCTGCACTAGGCAGTGACCCCAACCAGCCGCAGGATGATTCCCAAGGCCCTTTCCCCAGGTCGGGCGCGCCTGCCTGCTGGGGGCGGGGCCTCAGGGAATACGGGCGGGGCTACAGGGTGGGCGGGCATCCAATTCGGGGCACCGCCCCCTAACGGGCACAAGCCCTTGCGAGTGAAGGTGAGTTGGCTGGGGGCCCTGTCTTCAAGGGACTGGGTCCTGCAGGCTGGGGGCCCGAGCTCGGTGGGGCAAACAGATGCTCTGCCCTGCCCCCACTGGACTGCCTCGGTGGGTCTGACTCCCCCCACCCCTGGGCTCCCTGAGCACCACAAGGTCCTGGGACCTCCAATTATGGGTCACCTCCGCTCAAGGCCTGCCTGGTAGATGGTGGGCTCTATGGTGGTTACCACCATTGTGGGTACCACTCAGGCCTGGGGCTCAGGGGGACCTGGATTCTGTCCCAGCTCAGCTACTTGTCAGCTGTGGGACCTTGGGAAAGTCCTATATAAATGGGTGTAACACTGTGCCTGGGAGGGCCCCAAAATCTCAGTAAATCTCAGGCCACACCCTGGCTGGCCCACCTCACATTCAGCACCAGGAATATGGAAATCATCCCTGTTTGCTCAAGTCCCTTGCCCCACGTCCCATGTGTCAGTCTGCAAGTCCTGGGGTGCTTCCTGTGAAACGTCTGCCCCCCTCCCATGTCCCTGCAGGACCACAGGAGGGCTGGAGGAGGAGGACAGGAAGGACTTGGAAGGACAGTCCAACGCCTCTCCTAAACTAGAGACCCAGAGGGACTACGGAGACATCCGGGACTGTGGACGTGGCCCATGGGACCACGGGGTTAAAATTAAAACAGGCTGCCAGGCAGACTTCCGCACCTCCGCCTCCCACCTCTCCTGCATTTGGGGGGTGGGTTATTTTTAGAAGGAAGGCGTGCTGGGGAAAGCGCCTTACTCATCCTTGAGGTTAGCAAGGCCTCCAGGAAAGAACAGAAGGGCCTGTGTCTCCCGCCTGCCCCTCTGAGCTCACCAGGGCCCTGTCCCACCTGGCCTGGGCCCGAGGACTTTGTTGAGCTAACATTTATGCAGGGCTGCCTCCTGCCAGGCCCTGAGCTTCCTCTGGCCTGGGCCAGGCTAGCCAAGGGCAGGGGACCAGAATGGGAGGATGGGAGGGAGGGCGGCACACCTGGGCCCAGGCAGTGATCAGGTTTCTGTCCCCCATTCTAACCCCAACCAGCCAGGAGGGCTCCCCTTGTACAGGGGGACAGAGCCAAGAGACAATGTCGCTGGACCCCATGGAGGGACAGAACCCTCACGTGGGCAGGAAGAGGGGCCTCCACACTCAGCCCCAGGGATCCCGTCATAGCTGGGGCCAGGATGAGCCTTGGGTGCCTCTTTCACACGTCAGTGTGTTCATCTGCAAAGTGGGACTTTTGCAAGGATTTAATGAGATCCAGCCTGGAATAGGATACCCCATCCCATGGACCATTCCTGTGCCCCATGCACCCAGTGAGGAGGGGTGTGAGAGGAAGGAATCTTGCCCTCAGGGTCCAGCCAGAGCTGGAGGCCCCAAGAAGAGGTGGGAGGGCCCCCTGGAGGAAGCTGGTCCTGCCTTGGGCGGTCCCAGCTGAGGCCAAGCAGAGCAGAAGGCTCTAGGCAGGGGAGCCCGAGGAGCAAACTCCACAGCCCCTGGACGGCCCCACCAGCCACCCCACTCCCAGTGTAGAACACCCAAGTGGTCACTCACTTGGCACTCTGGCCTGGTCAGCCTGGGCTCCGAGTCATGGCCCTTGTCTGGAAGGCCATGGCAAAACCAAAACTGTCCCCAGACCTTCGAGTCCCTAGCAAACGTGCCCGCCAGCCACCAGGAAGGGCCTTTATTTCTGCTTCAAACCTCAGGACAAGGAGGGTGTGATCCAGACCTGGGCTGCGGATGGGAGAGGGCAGGCCTGTGGTCCTGGCCAGGCCTCGTGAGGCCGAGGCGGTGGCTCACCTCTCCCCGCTCCACGTGTCAGCCCAGCCACCCTGGGGCCGAGGCCCTGTCAACTGTCAGTGAGCAGGGGCAGGGTCTGCAGGGGCCCCCCTCCCAGTAGAATCTGGCCATGTCCCTGTCCCCTCACTGGGGGGCTTGGGGGGCCCGGTCCTTGCAGCTGGCCCGCTCACTGCTGGCGTCATCTGGAGCCTTCTCTGGTGCTTCCCTAGGTGAGGGGGCTGCAGAAACATAAAGGCCTCCATGTTGGTGGGGTTGCATTTCTGATAGGCTTGCAAGGAGATGGGCGGTCTGGGGG